AACTATAATATCTCAGCAGTTGCAAAATAATATTTTATACACTTCAACAACGCTTCATGGTAATAACTCAAAGTAAACTAAGAACAGAAAGCTCCCTTAACCTGTTGCAAAACCTACCAAAAACCTGGAACAAATACGTGCAGTAAAGAAGTTAGAATCTCTGCTTTGAAATGAGAAACAGGACAACTGCAATCAAAATTTCAACAGGGCTTTTCAAGAAAGGTTGAAAGTTTATTCTCATACAAGAGCAAAGAGCTGGCTGAGGATTTAGCTCAGTGGCACCACACCTGCATTGCAAGCACAAGGTCCTGAGTAGGACACTTGGTACCGAAAAGGAAAAAAAAAAAAAAAGAAAAAAAAGAAAAAAGAGCAAAGGGCTAAGAAAAACCATTCCCAATGAAAAATTTAAAAGTGTTTCACCCTCACAGTTTTTCCTAAAAGGCACAGGCTCTGCTCTCGCATCACCGGCTGAGGATCCAGAAACTGTCCTGTGATGAAAGACAAGCAGACAAATATCTGCATTGAAGACCTCCGCAGCAGAAGGTAACAGGAAAACAGCCCCGGAAGTGGTGCAGGCACCTGGAGGGGACAGATACTGTGTGACACCTGTATTGCGCAAGGACCATCCTAGGAAATTCTCAGTGGTACATGAAGAACCCAGAGTAGAACAGCCCACCCTTCAGAGAGCAAAATCATTTTGTGCACTGGGACTCAAGCGCTCTGCGAGCTGTCGAGCCATTTCGGAGAGACCTGCCTCAGCTCCTGGACACCTGCCGAGACGTGCCTGACAAGTTTGAGACCAGCACAAAGGACTATGTCACGGCTGTGTCTAGATGTCCCCCGCAGCCTCACGCGGTCAGAGGTGGCTGGATCTAAGGGATGTGATGCTGGAGTGATTCATGATGCAGTGCTAGGTTCAAGGGCCCTAGGATGAAGCGTGTGAGTGCTGCCCACCCTAAGTAGTCTGGGTAAGATAAAAGGGACAGAAAACGCGTTAAATCCACTTGCTGCTTGGCTACTTCCGGTCTCCCATGAACTGTTTCCCCTCCGCCATGTGCCACCCCAGCCAATTATGGACTGAAAAGTCTACCAACTGTGAACTAAATAAACCTTTCCCCTTTAACTCTTTGGGTGTTGGTTATTTTGTCTCAGCAATGAGGGAAAAGTAACCAACACAGACTAGAAGGTTAAAAAAAGCAAGCAGAAATGAATCTGCATTCTAGTTCCTTATTCAGGACAGAAGGACAAGCCTCTGAAATATTCTCTTTGTGATCATGTAAGACTCAGGGTTAGAAAGTTGTGTTTATCACTTGCTCCATCCTTCGGTAAGGTGTGGCTCTAGCTATTGACTCATTACAGCTGTTGGGATCTCTGCAAGAACCTGTGCGCTCAACCTAAAAATTCCCAGTTTTCATTTTAAAGAAAAAGAAAAAAATTTTAAAGACATCAAGACTTATCATAAAAGACTGGAGATTTAACTCTGTGGTGCAGCTACCTGCCTCACAAGTGCAAGGTCCTGAGTTTGACCCCCAATACCAAAAAAAAAAAAAAAGACCACGTGGTGCTTATGCAGAGATAGATAAAAACATCAATGAAACACAAAACACATCCCAGAAACAGACTCAATGTGCAAGAGAAACAATTCATCCAGAGATGATGTTTCTAGTCACTGGGGAAAAGAGGGACAATTCATACATAGAAAGTGCTAGAAATGAGTGTTCAAATGGAAGAAGAATCAATGATTTTCTCACCCCCCCAAAAAAAATCCAATTCAAGATGGATTAAAGACATAAATTTAAAAGGTAAACTTTAAACTTTTAGAAGATTATACAAGAGAATATCTTCAGGGTCTTGGAGGCATCCTTAGGAATGGCTGTGGCACAGTCAGGATTCATTCCTATGCCTCTCTCTCTCTCTCCCCACTCCTTTTGGTCTTGCTGGCCGGGCTGGCCTTGAACTTGTGATCTTCCTGACTCAGCCTCCTGATTGCGGGGTATACAGGTGTACAGCACCACGACACCTGGCTAAGATTTTTCTAATCTGAATTTGTGATCCTCTTGCCTCAGCCTCCTGATTGCCAGGCATACAGGTATGCAGCACCAGGCTAAGGTTTTTCTAATCCTGTTTAGGGAACATTACTGAGAACCCTGGCCAGGAGCATTGATCTCCTATGAGGAAATACAATGCAAGCTAAAGTACAAAGAAAGATGAGACTTAAGAGAGAAAGCTGGGTCTTGGACTGATCCATGCTGCTCTGGGCAACAAAGACAAAGGGCACCAAGGACACCAAGGGCACCCAGTATTTATTGATTACAAATGTGGGAAGAAGATGAGCAGAGTATGCTTTCAAGACATCTAGTGATGGAGTGCGAAGCATCTGGTGATAGCAGATATGCAAGCAGGGCTGTAAGGGAGGAGGCACTGCTTATCTCGCTTGGAGAGAACAAAGCGTACTAGGACAGGGTCACAATTAACCAGCAACCCAGTGAGAAGCCTTAATCCAGGGGAAAGGATTTTATCTTATTCATTTACTTTGGTTTTTTGAGACAGGGTCTCACTATGTAGTTGAGACTGACCTGGAACTCACTATGTAGCCCAGGCTGGTCTCAAACTCACAGAGATCCTCCTGCCTCAGCCTCCCGAGTGCTGGGATTAAAGGTGTGCGCCACCACGCCCAGCCTAGGGGAAAGGATTTTAATTGGGGTCAAGCAGACCTCAGTTGTACATTAACTCAGCAGAACCTGCCACTTCATAGACCAGGTTGTAGGTCTCCGTGGCAGCCACTGGGGCAGGGGCTCTACTCCCCCAGTCTGCCACCTGACATCTGCCCTCCCACTGGTCAGATATCCAGCTATCTGAACTTTAGTTTTTTCATCTGTAAGCAGGTATACTTATAGCTTTCTGGTCACTAGGACACAATGCCTGACACTTCCAACTTAAATCGGGGAGATCTAATTTGGCTCGTGGTTTTGAGGGGTCCAGTCCCTGGTCAGCTGGCTCCAAGGCAGACACAGAAGGTCAAAGTGTGTCATGGAGCAAAGATGCTTAGTTCAGCGGGGCTGGGAAGCGGAGCAGGGGAACAGTGTCAGCGAGGAAGGGGCCAGCGACCAGATATAGACCTCCTGACCACATACTCACACCCAGAAGTGTGCTTCGCTAGTCCCCTGGGTGACTCTAGAGCCAGTCAAGTCGACAAACTTCACTGGGGCTGCTGCTGCTGGTGGCATCCAGATGGCACAGAGTCGGGGGCGTGACACCAGCTCCTAGCTCTCTTGATCCACACATTCGTGTTAACACTGCTCACCCCATCCTTCGAGGGCTGAAAACTATCACCGAAGGATTTAAGGTCAGTCCCGGGAGAGACTGAAGACTGCACATGCAGGTGTGGATCGGTGAGTGAGGGTCCCCAGCACACGTGCACGTGCAGCACAGAGTTCTTCTTGCCCAGACGCACACTCGCCCAAGGCTCTTCGCTGCAAGGTGTGCAGCCTTCATCTCAGCGTCGACGTCACCCGGGTCCCTGCACCAAGCTGCTCCTTCGCATGTGTCCCCGGCCTCTCTCCTGGGGCTCTGAAGCGTCACACTGTAAGACTTGTGTCTCATTTTTACTCCTGGAGCGTGAACAGCCAAGAGGCCTTCACGATGCTGGGCTCAGTAGCTCAGTGAGGCTCCAGGAGCTTGTCCAATAGCGAGAGTCACCCAGGAAGGAACACACCAGGCAAGTTGGCTAATAGACCTTTATTAGTCTGGCCAGACGGCACTCCCCAAGCCAAGTGGCTCAGAGAGGCGACTAGCTCAGAAACAGAGGCCACTTTATATAGGGCTGAAGGGGGGTTTACATATAAAACTTACGGGAAGAGGACAAAGGCAAAGAATCAGTTGTTCTGACCTAGTGGTTATCAGGCATGTACTTGACCATCATGTACTAATGATTAGCAGATTGCTCATCCATTGTTCCACTTACGACTTAGATTATAATGTTCAGAACATTCAGATTACAGACATACAAAGAGTGACACAATCCATGTTGAGTCTCTGTGTTCATTATAGTCTCCATCCAGCCTTCCAGCTACTTCAAAACAATTACCTAACAATTCACAATTAATCGCTAGTTATCTTATAAGGGATGGGGGCAGCGACAGTCTCTAGGTCATTCGCTGGCCGATATGGAGTCGCTCTGGTTCAGCCAGGCTCCCACAACACCATGGGTCACTGAAGCCCAGGCAGCTTGGTGGAACTCTCAGCAATGCGGGCCACATGACGCCCACTAAGTCACGGGCTCTCGGACGGACGCTCCTAACCCATCAAAACCATCGTGAAGCCTCAACCGCTCCCATCTCCTCTCTTCCCTGCGAGCTGGGGCCACATGGGACATGGACAGTCTGCTCATCCCTCAGGTGGTGGTCCCCGAGCCTGGGTCGGGGTTCTGGGGACTGGGCCCGGAGCCAGCAGAACCGAGTTTGGCCGTCTCTTCCCAGGGGCCCAAGAGTGGCTGGGAACAGCAGTGCGTCTGCAGTGGGATGGATGCTGGAACACAGCAGAGACGCTGGCGGGTCAGGGGCTGGGGACACGAGACTGCCACCTCGTCTGCTCCTTCGAGTTGTCCTCCAGGGGATCACTGTCACTCGAAGACACAGGCAGATGGCCATGGCAACAGGTGTGCCTTCCTCCGTTGCCTTCTCTGGGCCAGCATCATGGTTTTCACGCATTATCCCATAGTTTCTGCCTTCACAGCAGCCACTGAGCCCGTCTTCGCTTCATTACACAAGAGCTTCGAGGGCGAGGGCCTTGCCCTGGGCGGCACAGCCCCTGGAGGGAGGAGGGAACTGCCACTTAAATCCGCTCTTAACCCTGCGGCACCAGGAGCTCCACATCCCCTCTGCTCTGTGCAGGCTGCCATGGGGCGTGGCCGATGATGGATGGAGCAGAGGGGCCTCCGGAAGGGCTGCCGCGGCCTCTTCCCGGGGAACGGAACTCACTGGAGATCGGGCGTTCCCGAGTGGCTGCATTTGCACCTAGCCGGGTTGGAGAAGAGTGGGTATCCATGGAAACACAGCTTTTCCTGACTTTTGCCTCTGATCTCTGAGGATTAATTTTAAACACAGCTTCAGGACTTTGCCACAGTTGTACACAATCCCTCTAGGGTAGGGCCGCATAATCTCAAGCTGCCATTAACTGAGGGCATTAACTGCCATTAACCTCCATCAAGTTTACCCTCTCTGGATCCCAGTTTACCCTTCTATGCAATAGAGGTAATGTAGCATTTACCCCTTAAATTTCTTCCAAATATTATTAAATTCTTTATTTAATTTTTCTTTTTTTGAGACAGGATGTCACAACACAGCCCAGGTTTGTCTTGAATTACAGGAGCTGGAATTACAGGTGTGCCCTGCATGTTAAATTCTTAAATTCCCCAGCACTGAGAAAAAATTTCTTAAGCAAAATGAATGTTGGCCGTGATTATTCCTCCACCTCCACCCAGTCTGCTCCTGTTCCCTGTTGTGCCCCACAAGCAGGTGACACCTCCCTCCCCATTTGCTTCGGATTTCTGATTTAGCACCAAGGCCTGGGAGGCCTGGGAACTCCCAGCTTTGAGCACATGGGGAGGGTTGGTTGCTCTCCCCAGCACTGAAGTTATAGAAGTTGCAACAGCCTAGACCAGATGGTAGCCAGGGGGACTCAAGATGGCCTGAGCCCACCCTTTTTGCAGATCATTCAGAATCCTGACTGTTTAGTGGCCACCAGATTAAGAACCATAGCTCAGAGGCACGGAAAAATCAATGAAACCAAAGGCGAGTCCCAACCACTATTTACATTTGAGTCCCCACTGGCAGAAACTGTCTTATTCACCTTGGTGTTGCTGGAACAGAGTTCCTGGGGCTGGATGATCGATAAAGAAAAGAGGTTCATTTTGGCTCACATGTGAGGAAGCTGGAAAGTCCAAGATCACAAGCTGCATCTGGTAGGGGCCCTGTGCTGCTTCACTTCAGAGTGGAAAATGGAAAGGGAAACGAGGGAGAAAGGTGTGGGCCCCTCGTACTGACCTAATCACCTCCTGAAGCCCCCACCACTGCTCAGCTCCTCTTCAACCTGAGCTCCAGGGGGACAAACCCTATTCAAACCCCAGCACTTCGAACTGTTCAGTGACTTAATACTGGATCTTCTAAACCCCTCCACGCAAAAAAATTTAAAAAATCCAGCCTCAGGCCAGGAGCTGTTTGTTCCAACAAATCCAGGGCTCATGTCTTTAGACCATAGGTTATGAACGGCACTGGCCTGCATCTAAGTCCGGCTGGAGGAGACTTTGCCTCAGGCTCTCCCTTTGGAGGGAAAGCTCCTTCCTGGGAGTGGGGCACCCACCTGGGAGTCACTGCGTGGTTGAGGAATGTCTCCTTCTGCTCAAACCTGCTCTCCTCACACTGCCTTCATGAGTGGGAGGCTTTAAAGATGGTGTGCGACGCCAAGCAGGCGCCCACACCCTAGCGCCCAACAGTCCGGCTGTGCCTCTCACTGCCCTAAGGCCTGGGCAGGTCTTAACCTGGGTGCCAGCTTGGGTGCCCACTCTGAGGTCAGTTTCCAGTACACGGAGGGTCGTGAGCCTGAAGGATCTGACTCCTCCGTGCCCGAAGCCACTGTTGCTTTATAACTGCTGTGGTCCAGCAGGTGCACCCCCACATCATCCAGGGCAGAAAGATCAAAGCACTCACTAAATGTAAGCCACAGTCTGCTTTTGGGGTCTCAGAGGCACCCTGCTGCCCAGGGCACACAGGAACACTCGTGTGAGAAATCCAGAGACACAGGCATGAGGGCATCCCTGCCCCCAGGGCACCCCATGCAGACTGCATGAGTGACTTGCACCTAGAGGTCACAATGACAGAAATGAATGGGCACCAGATCAGACTAAAGAAGAAACGGAGTCGGGCTGCAAAAGCCTTGTGTAACCCTGGGTTGGGTCCTCAATCAGAACAGACTGCTATGAATGCTATGTGATTGAAACAGCTGGTGACTATAAGATTTGAGAGCTAGAAACAACACGGTAACATTGTTAAACCTGCTGGTTCTCATAACAGCTCTGTGGTTTTGTAAGACACTTGTTCTTGAGAAATAGACTCTGAAGTATTCAATAGTAAAAATTTACGATGTGTCCAAACTACTCCTAAATGGAAAAAAGGTAATGTGTACATAGGAAACTAATGAAAAAAGAAACGTGGCAAAATATTCCTTGTAGATTGAGTAGAGTACGAGTTCTTTATACTACTTTTTTGCAATTTTAAGGCACATTTGAGGTTACTGTAGAATAAAAAATTAAGCATAAACAAATACACTGAAACCCTAAAACTAGAAAGGCTCTCGGAGACGCTCAGTAGCTTGGCCACAGCCTGGCCCCTGACCGCCCTAGCGGTCAGCCTGGAAAGGCCAGCTCGACACTTAACAGGTGGCCTGAGAACGGGAGGCGACAAGGACTGAGAGGCACCAGACCTAGCACGGGGCAGCCGTGGAAGGGACGGGGACAGGCTGCCGTAGGGTCACCTGACCCACCTGCACCCCTTTAACCCAGCATCCTCTGGACCGGACCGGGTCGGGAGGAAAAGTGTCCCGGTGGACCTAGAAGAGGAGGGCTCCTCGCTGTGCACCACCTCCCAATAGTACTGAGCCCAGACCACAGCCCATCACAGCAGAGGAGGTGCCAGGTCCCCGAGGTTTGCCGTAAGTTTCCTCACGAAACTGTCCTGGAGTTGTGTCCTGACCATTTCATGGTTCAGATCTTCATCATCTTACAGCCCCAAATCTCTAAATCTCACTTAATTTGGGCCGTGCCATGACCTGGAACAGGTTATTGAGCTTAGGTATGCCTCATGTAATGTGGGGCCAATGTGCATGTCATCTTCCTGGGATGTCAGATTTCAAAATTACCTCATGCACATGAGCAGTACCTGCTGTGCACTACAGTCGGGAAGTGCTGATGGTGTCTCACAGACACGAGGGAAGGAAGTAAAACGGCAGGTGACAGCCCAGGCCCACACGTAACAGGCATGTTTGATACCCCGGTCGGGCTTCCTGCTTGTTAGGCTATGAGGGGTGTATCATTAATCCTCACAGAACTCAGGGTGCAGTACAGGTGTGCTGTGCTGCCTCCCTTACAACTGAGGGAACTGAGGCACATTCTGACCTGCCTGGGTCACCTAGCCATAAAATGGCAGAGCTGACCTCTGAGTCTGGGCCATGTCTAATGCCAACACCTGTGCTCATTCTTAGCCCCTCGGTCTTTCTTGGAGGGGCCCCCATCAGTTTTCAGGACTGTGCGGCTCCAGGCATCTCCCCACAGGTGGTGTGGGGCAAGTCTTCCCACCACCAGGAGAACAATGCTCGCCAGCTTCCCAGACTGAGGGGAAGAGGTAAGGACCCGTCTGGGTATTGAGGCTGGAACCCAGGGCCAGCACCCGCGAGGAGCCCAATGCACCACTCTTCTACGCCCCCAGCCCCAAGCCGATCTCTGTGCCCCGCAAGGCACAAAGGGTCTTAGTCACCACAAACCGCCCAGCAGGCAGGTGCAGAAGAGAGCAGCCTCCAGAAGTGGAAGCCAAGTGGAATCTCTCAGCCTCCTCCAGGGCTGTATTTGAACAGGTATTTAAGGTCCAGGGATTTCTGTAGTGTCAATTGGCCCCTGAATGTCCCTACTGCTCTTTGGTTTTGTTTAGTTGTTTTATTTATTATTTATTTATTTATTTTATTCAGTACTAGATATTGAACTCAGGGCCGTCCAAGTGAACCACATCCCATACTTTGCTATTTTTTATTTTTGACGCAGGATCTTGCCTGAGCTGGGCTCAAACTTGTGATCCTTTTGTCTCAGCATTCGAGTGCTGGGATTACAGGAGTGCACCGCCATGCCAAGCCCCCTTTGCCCGTTTGTAATGACCCAAGACTGACCTGCAGCTTTAGCCACGCCCTAGATCTTTCTGTGGGCAGATGGAGTGAAACTGTGTGAGGTTGTGCGGAGAGCAGATTTTCAGCAGGTTTGGCAAAGGCATAGAAAGTCCAGGTTCCCTGGGGTTGATGAGGGTCAGGCCAATGGGACTTCACAGCTGTGTCTCCAGCTCCCGAGAATGAAAAACAGGGATTTGCACTTGTAGAGCCAGAACTTGGGAGAAGATGCCTGGAGCTGCAGAGGGGGAACGTTCCCGTGTGTGACGAGTGCTCAGGAGTGGCACGTGGACAGGTGACCTGAGGAAGCAAGAGTTACAGCCCAGCTGGCCCAGAGCAGGGTTTCTGATTCTGCCTCAATCCTCTAAGGGCTCAGTAGTTTCCACAGCGAGTGGCCAAAGCTCGTGGGGTTCAAAAGGGTTCAAATCCAAGCTTTGTGCTCTTAAACTCTAAGAGGGGTAACAATATTCCCAACTTCTTAGGACAGGAAATGAGGGCTGGATTAGGGTAGTAGGTTGGTGACAGAATGCCTTGCAAACATGCATTTGCTCCTGGGTTGATCTCCAGCATTGCAGATGCCTAGATGGGAGAGAGAGAGAGAGAGGACATCCGGCAGATGTCCCAGGTGCACGGATGCAGTCTGTGTGCCTCTCTCTCCTTGTCTGGGCTTAATGGTGGCCTTGCACATGCATGTGCGGGTCTCACTGAGCCCTGCTCAGAAGTTTTGATGACTTGCAGCCCTTCCACATGACCCCACTAGGAGTATGAAGGAAGAGTGGAGAGGGTGGACACAGGCAGCAGGAAATCCTGTTCTTTAAGATGCAATGTGACATCTACTTGTTTTCTAGAAGTTCGAGGACAGGCATAACACGCAAGTGTGTGATTACCTCTTGACTCAGAAGAAATACACACACAATAGTATGCCTTTCTCTTCTACCTCATTGCCCTCTCTTTTTCTCGTTGATCTCTAGCACACAGACTCTCTTTCTGTTCCTCCAGCACCAAAGTGCCCTCCTATCTAGGGCTCGGCGCCTACTGCCCCCTCTGCCTGCAGCGCCTTCCTCAGACGCTCATGTGAATTCCTCCTGATAACCGTTCATGTTTCAATTCAAATAGTTCCCTCTGTATACCTTCTGCACCGATAAGAATTTCATTCAGAGCACTGATAAGATCTTGAAATTGTCTCATTTTTCCATTGTTATGGTTGACTGTTTCCTGCCCCTGCATGTGAACTTTAAGAGGGCAGGGACTCTGTCCCACTATTGTGACCCCAACATATAGACATCGTGATTGCTATTTATGGTGCCAGGCGTGGAACTGAGGGCCTCATGAAGGCCCTCACCTGGACCACACAGGCATTATTTAATAGAGACTCGTCAGCTTTGCTGGTTTTCTCTCCATGGCAACTGTCTCTTTGATTCTGGTCTCTGCCTCTGGCTTCAAAAGTTTGACCTTGCCATTGCCCTGCTCGATACCTTTTCATAGCTCCCCAGCACCTTCAGGAGAAAACTCAATTCCTCGTCTATCTGCTGCCGTCTCTCCCTACCCGTCATTTCTTCCTGGCCTGAGGTTTCCTGGCTGGTCGTCTTTCTCATTCACTGTCCCCAAACACTGACTTCTGTCTGTCGGACTTCTGTCTGTCGGCATTCTTCCAGGCCCATTCCCTCCCTGACATTCATCACAGAGGTGACCTCTTCCAGAGTCGGCCCCTGCCCAACCATTCCCCCAGCTGAGTGGTGCTTTTATTTGCTTGTCTTTCTGTCTGGTGTGAGAGTGCAGCAGCTCTGAGAGGCCCGGTCACCCATACGGGTTGTGTAACATCATGCGTGAGGTTCGGTCCAGGCTTTTGTGGGTTTCCAGGTGGTACACACCTGTGACATAAGCACGGGGCACACTGCAGTCCTTTCTCGTCCCTTGACTGGAAGGAGACAGCCTCAGTTATAAGGCAAGCTGCTTAGGACAGCATTTCGGTTTGGTATCCCCCTGTGCTGGTCTGCTTTCCATCCCTGTACAAAATCCCCTGAGATAAAACAGCCTAAGAGGAAGAAAGCTTTATTTTTCTCATGTTTATCAAGGTTTCAGTCCTTGGTTGCTTGGTCTTGTCACTTGGGTGTTTGACAAGGCACATGTGGCAAAGGAAGCTGTTCTCCTTCTGGCGAACCAGGAAACAAAGAAAGAAACAGGAGGGAAGGGGCCAGGCTCCTCATATCCCCTTCAGGGGAAGCCCGCAGTACTGTCTGCCACTAGGCTGCACCTGATGACGGAGTCCCAGCCTCTTTAGTGTCAGGGCTTGTCAGCCAAACCTGCAACACATGGGCCCTTACAGGACACCAAAGACCCAGACCATAAAACCACCTTAAACAAGTTTTCCTTCCCAAGGGCACAGGAAGAATCAAGCGGTGATGACTGTCAGGCATGGGTTTCAGCCTGAGTGCCTGTCCTACTCTTGGCCCTGGCAGAAGCCTGGTGGGACAGTGCAGAACTTGCACCCACTGGGCCCTGGAGACCACGGGCTGCAGGTAAAGGGCAGGGGCACATTACACAGTTCCATGTGGGTGACCCACAGCCATGAGAGCTAAGAAAGGCACCAGCTTGGGTTTGCTTGTGGGTCACAGGAGGCCAACAGAATGAAGTGGCAGTCACTGGCCCACAGCATTCAGAAAGAAGCAGGAGCCCCAGATGAGGGGTAGGGATCACTAGGGAATGGTGGGGACTATGGCAAGCCAGAGGACCCACATTCTTTCCAGTGGCTTCCCCTGATTATTACCCTCTTGCCTAAGCTCCCCATGCTTCTGGAGTGCAGATATTAATATTTATGTGATGTCTCTGGATAATTTAAGTGTTAGCAACTAAGTCAAAACTTTAACAAAATATGTATCTGAGCCAGCTATGGTGGCACACACCTATAATCCTGGTACTTGGGAGGCTGGGGCAGGGGATTGTGAATTTGAGGCCAGCCTGACCTACATAGGGAATCAAGCTCAAACGGCACTGCTTTGTTTTATTTATTTATTGTTCCAGTACTGGGAATTGAACTACATCCCTGGCCCCAGACTGCTTTGCGAGACTGTCTCAAAAAAGAATAGACACCACTACCTGCCTCATGAGTGCAAATGAAATACAGCAATCACCTCAATGGCGTCCAGGGGCTGGGTCTGTGGTGTCTGTATTAGAAATCAACTGTAACATGGCTGGCTAATGACAGCAGCAAGAGCTGATGTCTGAGCTTGGAGCCGTAATGCCAGCCTCCTTGGGAGGCCAGGGCAAGAGGATCACAAGTTCAAGGCTGCTTAGGGGAAGTTAATGACACCTTGTCTCAAAATTAAATATATTAAAAGAACACGGAGGTAGCTCAATGGTAGAAGACCCCTGGGTGACATCCCCAGTACCACCAAAACCCCAACCAAACCAAAACCAAAAAAGGCTGGCATAGACTTCCTGGGTTCAAGTCCCTATATGTTGCACCTCTCATGGGTCATTTTAAGTGTCTCAGAAACTCTGTGACAAGGCACTGTACTCCTTCCGATGGCATGGGGTTCAGTCCCTGGGTCAGGGCATTAACTCATGGGTCCCAGGCTTGGTCTTTTGCACACAAAAAGTGTTCCAGGCCCTCAGAGGTCCCTAGAACTGAAGACCTTTATCTCCTATCCCATGCCAGTGCCTTTTGGTACTGAGAATCTTGCCCAAACACAAATATGCTTATCGTTTTGAGTCTCTTGATATATGGAGAGAGCTTCATAAACTACAGCCTCCAGTATACAGGGAGCTTATCTGTCTTATCCTTTCCTTTAGGTCCATCATGAGGCAAGTATTTCTCACATAGTAGGTGTGCAACAGGCATTTCTAGTTGATGGAGTCCGTGACCCTTTTCTTTTCTCTTTCATTTTAGAGGAAGTCAGACATTTGATTTTATATCAGAGAAGATTTCTGAACTGGGCTCTGAGACTGCTAACAATGTAAGACAGGAGGGGAGCAAGGAAAGCAGATGAGTGCTGGGCTTCACCCTGCAAGGAGGTGCTACTCTCTGAACGGTCCAGTTTTTGTTGCTGGTTCTTTAATTTTTATTTTTTTGTCTGACTTACAAAAACTTTGCTGGCTCAAGAAATTGTATATGTGGTTGTTATGTCTTGTGTCTAGATGTCCCCCCCAAGCCTCATGTAGTCATAGGTGGGTCTTTCCAAAGGTGGCTGGATCTAGGGTGTGTGATACTAGGATTAAGTGTGTGATGGTGGAATTAAGGGTATACGATTGCTAAATTTTTTTTGGGGGGGTAACGGGGATTGAACTCAGGATCTTGTGAGGCAGGCAGTGGAACCACTGAGCTAAATGCCTGGCCCTCTGATTACTAAATTAGTCCACAGATTGGTTTGGCTTAGTTCTGGGTGTGGATAATGGGAAGGCTCATCCTGAGTGTGGGTGTGTAGCCTGGAGGGGATAAAAGAGACAGACAGACTGCTGCTGCTGTTTCCTCACTACTTCATTGCTTTGCTGACCTCCTACCTTCCACCTGCCATGAACTGTTTCTCCTCCGCGATACCCTCTGCCATGCCACCCGCCTTGGAGCCAGCCAACCATGGACTGAAACCTCTACAAACCAAGAGCCAAAGTAAGCCCTTCCTCCTTTAACTTTGGGTGTCTTGTATTTTGTCTCAGCAACAAGAAAATTAAGTAAAAGAATGGTTTTTACTACTCTGCCATAATGAAGGATAAATCTGAGTCATTTCTTGGAAAATGAATGCACCTTGAAACCATAATGTTAAGTGTAATAAATCAGACACACTTAAAATATAACATGGTTTCTCTTATATGAGAAACACAAAAGTACAAACAAATTATAGAAGAAATAAAAGATAAATAATAGAAAATAGGGAGAGATCAACTCACCAATCAAGAGAAACAGACTGGCAAAATGGAATAAGAAGCAAAATCCAATAATATGTTGTATACAAGAAACACACCTAGTGCAAAAAGAAGCCAATAGACTGAAAGTGAAAAGACAGAAAACAATTCTCCATGTGACAGGAGCCCAGAAAAAAACAGGGGTAGCAATCTTATTTGCAGACAAAGTAAATTTCAAACCAGAACTGAATCCAGTATTATTGATGTAAGACAGTACTGTATCATACCTCTATGAATGTAAAATATCTAGTACCTGCTTTATGATACATAGTAGGGACTATGCTTTATCAGAGCTACATTTAATGATATTACTCTAGAATGTTCTCTTTCCACATGATGATTAAGAGGCTAATAGAAAAAATGGTACCAGGTACCACAGCAGCAACAGAACTTTGCTGTTGTCTGGATATTATTCTTTTGTTTTTTTGTTTTTTTTAATGGAATGTGCTGAATGTCTATAATTACGTTCAGATGACTGCAGAATCTGGAAAAGCTGTTGCTGCTATTGATGCATAACATACTATTATTAGTCTTTATACACACACACACACACACACACACACACACACATATATAAATTGAATTTTGGGAAACTTTAACGGTGCTGCCAACTTTGGAAAAAGTCATCCCAATTTACTGTGTTGACTTGGCATGGTACAGAAATGGACAACCATATTGGT